AGCTACTTCTACAACTACAAAACACCCAGCCAGCAGCTCACAGCAGCGGTCATTATACTGAACATCACGTCATACAATCTTCTAAAGGTTCCACAAAGGAAAGAATCAAACCTGAAGCAGTTTCTTATCATTTACTTTTCTTCCACTCATAGTGACTTTAATCTAAAAAGAATCAACATTGCGTGTGAGGCACTTGACTATCAGACAGACTGAATGATTACATTGTGGTAGCTGAGTGAGGTTTCACCAACGTGTTACACTACACAGTATTGTAATGATTTGACTTGGTTTAAAAAAAAAAAAAAAGAAGCACCACACAGAACATGTGTTCCTGTCTTTTGATATTATCTGAGCTGAGTGATATTCAGAAAATAGTCTGCAGCGCCCCCCTCAGGAAAAGACAGAAGAATACCTGGTAAATTCTGATTTTGGGTCATTCAGTGATTTTAAAGGAAAACCTATACAAACAGTTGACAGTGTGTGAAAATGGGAAAACTAATATATTTTATGTTATAATGTAGTATTATCAGTATTTAAGCCATTAGATAGAAGTCATACAGTTTCTGATTTCCTATGCCTTCTGGTATTACTTTCACTATGGACAGTTTACTAGCTGCTTTTCAAAAAAAAAAAATGTATCTGTCTGAAATTATTGAGAGCGGCAGAAACAAGCTTCAGTGCGGGTGGTGTTAACAAACCCTGGGGCAGCCCATATAGGAGGCTGATGCCTCTGAACATCTATAAAGGGTATGCAAACTGAAGTATTAACCCTTTCATCCGGTAAAACTTTAAAATTTTAAGGCAGTTAAGCACATATTTATAGACAAGTTTGGGCTTCTCTGCTCATAAGGTGCTATACAGTATGTGTGTGCTGTGTAATTACATGCAGAGCCATAGGATGAAACGATTAAACACCTCAGTCAAATAACACGTAACTAGCTGGAATTTGTTTAAACTACTAAGCATTAAGCATTAGAACTGTCAATCACACTACAATTTGACATTTCTCATTTATAATGTCTGTTCTGTGATAAAGCACGACCATCTCAAATGCAATTTCTGTTGGAACGAAGGCTTGCAAATGCCTTTTGGCAAAATGTACAGCTTTGAACAGTTTGTTAGTGGTTATAAAAAAAGGATCAAAGTGAGAACACTACTTCACTTGTCAAATATCTCAAGCACATAACAGGATTATTATTTCAGAAAACAAAATAAGGGTTCATTTCAAGACACGCAGATTTTTACTTTTTTATTGTACAATATTACAATTACATTTGTACAAATGTTTTTAACAAAAAAAAAAAAAAAAAAAAAAAATGCAATTCAGGCTAGAAGAAGAAATGCTTGCTGGGGCCCGAAAACAACAATGTCCTTGAGCACTAAACCTTCATGCCGCAGTGGCGGGAACATAGTGCTGCTGCTTGGAGTGAGGGCCACGCACACACACACACACAGACAGACACATCACATCTGAGGTGGGCTAGCATGGCTTTCTCCCGTTCACCCAGTCAGATCTTAAAAGACACAGGATGAGCAAAAGCAACACGGTGGATACCAACTTCAGTGCAGATGAAGATCGTGTATGGAAAATGGGCGCATAAAAATCCAGTTTGTGTGTCTGTGTGTGTTGTAGTGATAGAGGAGAAGGGAACTAAGGGAATAAGGGGTGTTGTTCGTTTGTTGTTTGGTCCAGGTCCAATGTGTTAAGAAGCCGAGGCGCAGGGTCAGAGGTCATCAGGAGGGGTTTTAAGAGCGGGTGTACTTCCCCCAGATGTGCAGCATGAAGACCGAAGCGATGAAGAGCAGACTCATCACCAGCACTGGCACCGGGCCGCTGTCACAACAAAGACAAACTGATTAACACACACACACACACACACACACACACACACACACACACAAAATCCCATCATTTGCTGTAACCCCACCCCGAGCGAGAGTCTTAGTGGAGTGGCTGATTTTATTGATGAGCTTTGGAAACAAGGAGGGGCTCTCATCGCTGAAGGAGGGACTGAGTGGGGGGTGGGGTGGAGGGGGTGCATCGCTAAGTAGCAGCATTGCCATGCCAACCATCTCTTCAGCGGCCCCCTCCTCCCCCTGTCAGGAGGCTGTAATTGAGTTGACCTTTCAGAGTGGATCCTTTAATGAAGCTTTGAGGCCGGCGTCTAACGCAGGAACAAACACGCACTCGATATACAACACTGTATGGCGAGTCTGCCCTCCTTCGACTGCCGGAGAGACGCACTCAATAACCACCACAGCACCATCGATCAACCACGGCCAGCTATGGCCAGGAGAGAGGATGTCTCTAATATTGGGGGGAGGATGCAGCAGAATACAAGTTTATGAAGTTGAGAGTTTTCTAAATGTCCGTGTTCCACACACACACACACACACACACACACACACACACACACACACACACACACACACACACACACACACACACACACACACACACACACACACACTTGAATCAAGCTAATCCACCGCTCGGAGATGATTTGTTTTACCACAGAGGCACGTCTGTCCAATTTCCTGCCATTAAACCCTCCTCCAATTCTACCTGATGAACATAAATAACGCTAATGATTGCACGTGTGTCGGAAATCCTGAGAATTAGTTTGTGTTGGTGAGTGGATGAAAGTTAAAAATGTCAAAGGCTAAATTTGTTTCGGAGTGTGTGTTTTTTGTGGTAATAACTTCTTTTATAAACTGCTCTTACACTTTGAGGCCTGGCGAATCTTCTGTGTAGAAGCGCCACATGCCACCGGTGCCTGCCGATCCCGTGGTCCTGCCACCGCTGCGTGTACCGCTGCTGGTAGCTTTCCTGCAGAACACACATACACACAACAATTGAAAAATATATCCACACTGACAAGTGTTTGAGTGAATTTACTAACTTATAACACTAATTTTTCTCTAACTCTTAAATAACATGTTAAATAATTTTTTTTTTCTCACTATAGAGAAATTTTCATGTTACAAAGTACAGAAAGTGCAGAAAATAAGAAAAGACACACAATTTAGTGAAAATCTGATAACTTTTACTCATCCAGCAGTTTCTTGAAACCCCAAACAATTTGATCAAAAAACAGCACAGTTAAAAAAAATAAAACTTTGCAATCATACCGAGTACTCAGACTGTGACTAACTACAATAGCTGGTGATGAAAGAGTGGAGTGATTCATGGATGCTTCACTCATGTGATGAGATTAAACGGAGGTTAATGAGGTAATGAAGAGGGTGATAGTAATGGGTAATAATGAGAGAGGTAACAGTGAGCCTCTGATTACACACTGATTAAGCCCACAGCACGACATCTATCTGCTGTCCTAATCTACGGAGGGCACACACAAAATACAGGGAAGGGCTATCTGAAAGTCATCAATCACTCTTTACAGTAGGATGACATAAACAGAGGGGTAAGGCCGGTATTTGGAAAAATAATTATGTGTTCAGGCTGAGATGACCGCATAACTTATCTATAATATCTCATGTGAAGTGGTCATCAGTGGCTACTTTTTCACAGCTGTGGCCAAAATACACATTTGTAACAAATTTATGGAAAAACAAACAAGGTCTCTGAACTCTACTGGAGTGATGAACTGAGGTGGCGTTTTAATTATGGTGGCTGAGATAGCTGCCCAGTAAGTCGGACCAAAATCTCCCGTAGGAGTTTAAATGGGTGGAAATCTGGGGACTGACGACCCCAATTCAGTGACCCTTAGATGGACGAATCTTCATTCATTATGTTACTGCGCCCATTTATTCAGGTCTTTACTTTAATTTGTTGCTCATCCGTATGCAAAACTATAAATACGTATTATGGAAAGTCTGCCCATCTGTCTACTGGTTAAAGCAGTTAAATGTTTAGTAGATTGTGTGTACCTCTGTCTGACTGTGGAGCCTGCTGCGCGGGGAGCCACTGTCTTACTGGGGGAACGGCTAGATGCCCCAACATTGGTTGCACTTGCTGCTGGTCCAGGCTGGAGGGGAGATAGCAAAATGAATACACATAAACAGGATTCAACTCCATTATATACACTCTCTGAACATCTGTCTAATCTCTCTCTCACACACACACACACACACACTCACACACTAACAAACACGTTTACAACTAAAACTAACTTACAACAGTCAGATAAATAGATTTACCCATGATTCTTTAATAGCTAAAGTTAACTTACATTTGATTGATCCTGAAATCTAAGTTACAGTGTGTTTATGTCAGAGTAGTGGCGAAGGCCTTGACCAACTCTAGGGTCCACACTGTTCATTGCTGTCAACTTTAAACTTCATAGTAGCCCAGTCAGACATGTCCTCGTACATAAATCATTAATTAATCCAGTACTGGAGCAGCTTAAAATGTGTTTCGGGACTGTCTGAGTTGCTGAGAAACAGCCACGTCCACAAATGATGAGCTGACGTTAGCAAGCCAGCTAACAGATAGTGAAACGTTAAATCAGTGCAATAGAGTTGGTTATCTCCAACAGCAGCACCGGTTTCAGATGGAGCCGAGGATCTTACCATTGTGTTTTATTTGTCCCGATACAAGTTGAAACCCTGAGCCTCTCTTCGAGCTGATGTCCACGTCAAATGAACGGCAGACCGTCGGCGTGTGAATTAGTCAAAACTTGAGGAGAGGTCTCACAACGCTGACGCTTGTCTAAAAAGGACACGACTGCAAAACACAAGACCAGTGCAGGCGACCGAGCAGAAGCCTGACCGGCTGATCGCCTTCGCCACAAAAACAATGAATCACTACATTGTTTTAGCAGGTTGTTTTTGTACTACGTTAAAAAAGCGTGCTTGTAAAACCCATGTGTTTTTTTAGTACGTTGAATTTAGATATTTACTTGTACTTTAATTTAAAGGCAAATTACAGGTCCGCCTCGACTCTGAGGGAGACGTGTCTCACAGGAAGCGCATCGGTTGTATCGAGGAAACAGGCGCCATTGTGGTTCAAACATGAAGCGCGATTAGCCTGATTACAGCGGTTGATTAGAGCCAACATGGCGTCCAACCGGTAGAGTTTCATGATAGTTATTCTTGCTGCTACGGGTATCTAGACGAGCATAATCACAGGTTTCCAAACTTGGACAAGGCAAGAGATCCAAAGGTAAACATTACTGTATTATAATTCAATTGTACGGAGTTGTGGTTCTCTGGTGCTTGCCCACAAATTGAATTAGCTACATAGGCTAATGTTCACAATCTTATCAGTGTAGCTGAAGACACTTAACATTTTCTAAAGCAAGCGGTTGTCTAGCTATATAGGAGCTTAGTTACTGAACTAGCAGGTTAAAGTAGAAGTCTCATTTCGTGTTGTTGCTATCAGTTTGACTTCTTCAGTGCCAGCTGTCGTTAAAAGGTTTTTCTGATAGTTCTTGGGGACATTGTGACAGTAAAGGTGGTTTACAGCAGGTGCAGGTGACATTTTCTGTTCAACTGTCGTGACATGAACTCCATCAAGGTGTAAAAGTTCTGAATTAAATGATGTTACAAAATAAATGCTGAACGTTTGTCAACAAGGCAGCTCTAAAAAGTTTCTCTCCCAAGCATCTGATGTTTCTCTTTTACAGTGTGTATCTCAGGTTAAGGCTGTCACTCATATTGGTTGTTGTGAATAAACACCTTGTACTGAATTTGGGATTATTTTCACTATTCTACATATAGTAATGTTTTTAACTGTGTGTCAAACCCAGTCTGCAAGCCAGTGTTTTACAAAAATATACTCCAGATTGAATTTGAACATTATTCCTTCTTGTGTGCAGGATGGCGCGGGTGGTGTTCCTCCATCCGGACCTTGGTATTGGTGGAGCTGAGCGACTGGTGGTCGATGCTGCTGTCGCTCTTAAGTCTCAGGGATGTAGTGTTCAGATCTGGACCGCCCATTATGACCCAACACACTGCTTCTCTGAGACCCTGGACCCAGAACTTCCTGTGGTACGTCAACACATACATTACTACATAATATTGTCCCTCAAACATACACAAGAAGACAAAGAATAGTTTAATGTAAAATTTTTAAGACACACACATTTAATCCTTTCTATTATTCCTATAATAGGTATGTGTGGGTGACTGGCTACCCACCAGTGTGTTTGGTTACCTGCATGCCCTGTGTGCCTACCTGAGGATGATTTATGTGGCTCTCTACCTGGTCTTCCTCAGCGGGGTGGAGTATGATGTCATCTTCTGTGATCAAGTGAGTTGTGTCCTTCAGGAACTCACTGTCCCTCCATTTTGTCTTGAGTCGTTTGAGTTCTTCTGAGCCCGCTGTGTCTTGTAGCTGTCCCTGTTGCTCATAGAATAGCTTCCATTGTTAACAGAGACTTGTGTCTTTTTGTGTCACACCCTTTAACTATACCATGCCATAAAATGGACACTCCCTTGCTTATTTTCTACAGTTATTTATTTCATACAAATAGACACAGGTATAGGTACCAACTTTTTCTCGCTTAATTAAAGTACAAAGACGGCTCATTATTTAGATTGACTTAAAGGAAGTCTCACTTCTTAAATGATTGTACAGTAACCAACCAAAGCACGTCATTTTGCTTTGGTTTGACGGAAAGGGAAGACATTTACATTTTTGTTCATTCCCCTTTTTATTCCACTCCAGGTGTCAGTGTGCATCCCGGTGCTGCGACTGTCACGTCACAGGAAGAAGGTTTTGTTTTACTGCCACTTCCCAGACCAGCTGCTGACCCAGAGGAAGTCAGTCCTGAAGAAGCTTTACCGCGCTCCAATCGACTGGCTGGAGGAACGTACCACTGGCATGGCTGATATGGTACGTGGTGAGGGTTGAAGAATATATAATTCTGCAGGTTGTGATGGTCAGATTGCAGGACGGGTTTGTGTCACTGTTACCATTTTCTTTCATCCAGATGGTAAAGTTAATTTATATAGCCTGGTGGTTCAAAAGGCACAGCACAGTACAAAACAGGCCCAATATGTGACCTGAATTCTTTAGGTAGAGTTCTACATGACCTTTATAGTAAATATTGTGGGTATTTTATTATTTTATTTTTTTTGAGATAATTTTTTTTTAATGAATTTAAGTTGATTTTGAAGCACATAGTGGGTTGAAAACACCAGACCTCAAAATATATAGATATAGATCATGCATTTAATAAACCACATTAATAATGGAGCCAGGGCTATCACAGTGCATAAAAGGTTAAATCATCATTTCACTCACGGCACCGCAAACTGGTGGTGTTGACGTCAGATAGACCTAATACATGATCAGGTCACCAAGTGGATCTAATGCTGTTTTCTCATCTACAGAACAGTAATGTTAGTCTTCTTGACTTGCTAATAAACATTAAAAAAGTATCTGTTAGCAAACAGAGTTTATGACATATTGCATGTTAGAATATATCTCAGAAAAAGAATAACTATGTTACTTGCATACTTATGTTTTTTTATAAATATATTTAAATGTCTTACAATCATGCAAATATGTAGCTGTGTATTTTGCTGTAATACATGAATACTATGAATATAAAAAATACTTTCACCGGATAGTGGCACAGGCTGCCTTCAAGAAAAAAGTGATTTTATTTTTTTATAGCTCAGTGGTTGAAGCTTCTAAATGATTCTTTATAATTTTGTCTATCTCCAATACTCCACTGTGTTTCTTCAGTTCATACAAAGCTGTAATTAACAACCCAGAAATACATGCTGTTGTCAACCGACCTTTGTGTGCTTACAATTACAAACACATTAGATTGCAATTACACTCTAATTAAATGCTGCTCCATTTAAAAAAAAAAACAGTTGATTTGTTCAGAATAATCTTGATCTCATCCAGATGTTGCTTTACAGGAGAGGTGAAGTAACTCTCACGACTGAGTCTGGCTCTTGATAACTACTCAAACTACAGTGTAATAGAATAAATCAGAATTCAAGGTATATTATTTTTAACAGCTTGAATAAACCAAAATGATTATTTAAAATACAGCTTGATTTCCACAGGCAAGCAATTGTAAAAGCTCAGGGCCCTGATAGAAAGGAAATGACATTTCGATTTTATTCTAGACTTTAGGATAATCAAAGGCCGCAGGCTTTCACCCAACTCATAGGGAATTAAATGGCCTGTGATATATGTGAGATCCTTATGAAACTAATCTCTCTGTACTTCCTCTTAGATTCTGGTAAACAGCCAGTTCACCGCAGGCATCTTCAGGGAGACCTTTCTGGGTCTACGAGGAGTCCAGACAGATGTCCTCTATCCTTCCCTTAACACGCGCACCTTTGACCAGCCGTCCACTGAAGCAAAAGGCTTGGAAGGGCTGCTCCCTGAGGGAACCTCCTGCCTGTTTCTCTCTCTGAACCGATACGAGAGAAAGAAGAACCTGGGGCTGGCTCTAGAGGCTCTTGCATCCCTGAGGAGCAGCCTTTCTCTAGGCCAGAGAGCGGGCGTTCACCTGGTGGTGGCGGGGGGCTACGATGACAGAGTTACTGAGAACGTCCAACATTATACTGAACTGAAAAAGCTAGCAGCGCAGTTGCACTTGGAGGACTGTGTCACTTTCTTGCGCTCCCCCTCCGATTCGCTCAAGGTGGGGCTGCTGCGGGGCAGCGCAGCCGTGCTGTACACCCCGAGCAGAGAGCATTTTGGGATAGTTCCCGTAGAGGCCATGTACTGCTGCTGCCCTGTTATCGCAGTAAACTCTGGGGGCCCCCTGGAGAGCGTGGCAGACGGGGAGACGGGCTTCCTGTGCGAGCCCACGGCAGAGGCCTTCTCTAAGGCCATGGAGAGGCTCGTCAGGGAGCCACAGCTCCGCAGGGACATGGGACTAGCTGGGAGGAAGAGGGTACGAGATAAATTCTCTCTTCAGGCCTTCTCAGACCAGCTGTATGGGTACATTGTCAGACTGAGCCAGTGATGAGAAAGCTGGAGAAAAGGCTGCAGAGACACAGTGTAATGGCGTAAAAATGATCCTTTACTGTGAATTGTATGTGGACGACTGGGGGCTGCAGAGAGTTAAAGTGGATGTCTTCTAACAGAGAATGTATGTGTATATGTGCAGGGAGGCAGGGGAGGGGGGGTATTATGAGGACTTAGAGGACAATCAATCAGCATTCCCCTGGAGGGGTTGCTGAGAGGAAAAAGAGGACGGAATCTCTATACCAATTAAGAAAAGAGTAACGAGTTTACCTACCCTATCTCTGGAAAAATACCACCCCTGCATATGTGTGTGTGTGTGTGTGTGTAGCAGTGCAGCAAGCAAGAGTCTAGCAAATGAGCGTACCAAAAGGATTGATTGTTAGAGTGAAATGTTTTGCACTGTGTATGGTTTTTTTTTTTTAAACTTGCTTTTCTAGTCTTTGTCTTTGTGTGTTTGTGGGATGAAGAAGAAGAATGTAGTTACCACCATTTGCCATCAGGCTTTGCACAGTCCCAGATCAATAAACAGGATGCTTTCCACTACTTCCTGTCCGCCCAGAGCTTTGTTCCCCTCCTCGCATTCAGAAGATGCTGGCCTGTCCATGACTCTTGCTGCTGCGTGGAGGTTATTAGCAGATGATAGAGAGTGTTTGGCTTTATTAGAGGTCTGGCTGATGGGCAGTGTGTCTTTGTCTGGGTCATTATCAACGAGGAGAATAGCAGAAGGTCATTGTGTCTGCGTGCTGGCCTCCTCAGCCCTCCTACTGTATAGAAATGTTCTTATTGACATTCCTGAAGTCTTAATAAACAAGAGGACACATAGTTTCCTGACTCTTATGGGGTTTGCTTTGTTGGTAAGTTTTTTTGGCCTTTAATAGAGTTTACTAAGGTTTTTGTGGGTGAGCATGCAGGCACAGAAACGTTGTAAATGTTATGCCATCATTTTTCTTTTCATTGAACAGATTTGATTGTGTCTTGAGTTGTTAAATGAGGCATTCTCAGGCAATGTAACAGTGAAGGAGTTTTATTTTTGCTCATTAAATGTCTGACAGATGTACAGAAGAAGCACAACAGAAGATCTTAAGTTTCTGTCTCCATCCGTTGCTGCATTATCATTTGCAGAGTTTGAGTTGTGTCCCTATGCGGCTCATTTTTTTTCTTAAAGGGAATCTAAAAAAAAAGAGTAAAAAAATAATTAGAACTTTAAAGTACACTCTGACTGGCTATGCATCTAATATTTACCACACAAACTTTCACTCCGGTGTTGCTGAACCTACCTGGTTGGAGACAGCGTTGCCGTATCGAACAAATGTGGCGAAATGCTCGCTGTTGAAGTTCATCAGGTCGTATTTAAACTCCTGGTGCAGAAAGGTTTCACAGCAATTCCTCATCATCTCCTGTGGAGATGGAACCAGGTAGTGCTTGTTGTTGTTGACCCTGATGCAGGTTCCTCGAGGCACTTTGATCTCTGTAATGCGCTGCGTGCAGATTCTGGTCTTCTTCAGAACACGATCACCTTTTGACTTTGGAACCATTTGTTGAAGGAAGCTGCGACAGGCTTTCTGTGTCATGTTCTCATCTTTAGAATTATGAGGATATGCAGTACAATAGGGGATAAAAGAGATGAGATTTCAGTCAAATAGATCTGGTACATTTAAGTTTTCAAACTAATATTTTTCAACAAAGTTCTGCCTATCCAGTGTCGTTATTTCAAATAAAGTCACACCTTACCTCCCACTCCAAAATGGATAACATAGCCTTCTCCAACATAAACACCCCAAAGAGACAGTCCTGACCATGGATGCACAAACTCAATCAAGTCTCCAAACTCTGCCGTAGACACACTCTGATCAATCTATATATATAAAAAAATAGAGTAAGGCTAGAGCAGCGCACAGTATCACAGTATGTTATAAATAACACATAATTACAGATTAAATTAGAACTGTATGTTATAAATAACACATAATTACAGATTAAATTAGAACTGTCATTTGTCCCTCTGAAAAATCGACCTGTTTAAACCTAATAAACGTGGTCAACAATCGTAAAAATGCACATACCTTGACAGGACTGTAGGTACAGCTGTGCCATGATAAACATTTCTGATTATATTAAACAATGCTCACCTGTCGGCTTGTCATTTGGGAAAAAAGGCTGTTCCAGTTTCCCAAAAGGTCCATCGTTGCCGTGAGCTGTGGCCAACAGACGGACTAAAGTGCATTTTCCAATTATTAGGACGCTGTAACCAGGTTGTGTAACAGTTGAAACGCCTTTATTAGTCGCGGACAGCCTTGACTGTAACTGTTTTAAGATGATATGCACCCTAATATGTTACCTATTAATCTAATACGTGGTCCATTATTCTCTCAGGTTCAGGCACTGTGAGACAATCATTAAAAAATTTCCTTAAATATTTTCTTTCAGCTTATTTTGCATTGAGTTTTCAATTCCCACTTCTCATTATTGATTCAGATATTTCTTCAGAGTCAATTTTAAAAGCTGTAACTCAAAGAAACCAACAGTGATACCACTTGTTTTTCAGAACGGAAAATTATTTGTCCCTGTAGGTCCAATTAGTGCAGGTGGCTATGGTTTATTTGAAATAGATACTAAGGTCTAACATTTGGAATATCACAGTGACAGACCTCAGTCAATTAATGTTAGTGATTCTGACATTTTTGATGTGCACAAATGGATTTTAAAAGATGTGTGTGTTATATATATATATATATATATATATATATATAAATTCAGGATCTGTATAGGTTAGGAAATCCCAGTGCTATATGTTTGTAACTGTGACAGTTGTGTGCACGCAATAATAGACACAGATACATTGTTGATAATGTTTCACATAAATATGGTTGTTTTTAGGAATCTGCTTTGTGAGCTCACATAAAAATAAAACAACAAAGCTCATGACCACACTTAAGACATAACCCATATGATAAAAACATAATATTTTGAAACAAAGATATGTATGTAACATCGGTGACTTATGAGTGAGCTCTGTGGTCCACAGTTCATAAAATACATCAAATGTGTCAAGTGTGTTTGCTTCATGTCCTAATGAAATCCACATTGCTCTTTTAAAGTAACGAGCCCAATATGTGATTTTCATATTTAACTTTGATTTTGAATGTAATTATAGATTACATTGCCCTTTGTGGTTGACAGATATTACTGAGATTTTGGCTTTTGAAACCCTTTATGATATATAAAAAGAAAAACATGATGCTCAAGTGTGCACAAGATACAGAGTATACATTTCTTAAACCTTTTTTTAAGACTAAAAAAGGAGAACCTGTAGAAATTAACCGCACAAAACATTTACTGACAGTTTTAAGAATGCAAAATGCGACTATAAGGAATCAAAAGGCAGCGGTGTGTTTGTTTATGTGTGTTACTGCAGTGTTTCCACATGCAGAGATATTAAGAGTAGATGATGAGGAGGGCGTTGCTGCAGTGATTTAGGGGCCCCGCTAGGCAAGATGATAAAAAGGCCCCGTGGAGCCTGTAAGGGAGGGAAAGACACGAACAACAACACACAGCAGTAAACACTCATCGGGCTCCATTCAGTGTTAATGTGTCCCACTTTACTGCCTACACAGGAAGATGGTGTCTGAAGTCTCCTTTCTATCTCTTCCTGTTTTCCTCGCTCGTTATACGAACTGTCTTTACCTCAAAGTTGTGAAAGAAGAATCGCTGCCCCTTCCCTGCCTCCCACCCTCCCCCTCTCTCCGTGCCCTGTGGTGGGGTGGTTATTGAGATCACGGTGTGTCTGAGTGGCAGTGATAACCGGTACCCAGGTGCCACTGGCACATGGTGTTTAATTAATTAATGAGACCGCGGGGTTGGTTTTCTAATTCCACCTAGCCAGCACCGGGGTGTGGGGGAGATAGCCGCGAAATGTTTAGGTGTGTGTTTTCAGGCGAGGAAAGGAGAAATGTATGTGGGAGTGTGTGTGTGTGTGTGTGTTATGGGTGTATATCTATTTTGTTGGCAGTTTGGGAGCTGGTTTCCTTGTTAGTGGAATATTAAGTATGTATGGAATATTTTTACTCTGACTTTTAATCATGCCTTATGATTGGGAGTTAATCATGGGCTAAATGAAACTGATGATGAGAGAAACACAGTTAGTGCTAATGCATCAATCTGAACTCTTCCTCCGGCACACTAACCAGGTCACACACATTGCCCTGAAACGGAGAAATGTACATGAGATTTAAACAGTGTTGGGGAAGCTTCTCTGAAAACATAGCTTTGCGAGCTACTAATTACTCCACAGTGGAAGAAGTGATTTCTCTTTGGTTGCTGGTGAGGGATCTTGTAGCGGTTTCACAAATGTAGTACAAACAAAATTCGAACAAAACCATTTATCTTAAAACTTTCCTGTTCCATTTGGTTCCTGAAGCTGGAGGGAATGTAATAAGAATTAAAAGTTAAGACTTATTAGAATATTGAATAAATAGGACACAAGACAGTTTATCAAAAGGGCTGCATAATGTGATGAAAACATATTGCGATTATTTTTTATAGATATAGGGATTACAGTGTGATTCGTAATTGTGGGGGAATTGTAATCTTTGCATAAAAAATTTGATTTTCACTGAAAAAATGATTAAAATCATGATGATGTTACATGTTTTGTTCTCTTAAATCTCGAGAACAAGGCTTGCAGACCAGGGGCATCTAATCAGAACTAGAGTAGTTCATTATAATGCTGTTTGTCACACATTTTTACCTTTATCCAACAATTGCAGCTTCCTGTGATTTTGCACTTGGCCATATTGCAATTTCACTAATATTTATTGATTGTGCAGCCCTAATTACAACCACCTTTTCTCATTATTTCTTACACGAATATTTTATTTGAGATTCAAGATTGCTGTCCTCTGTGAATGCCGTCTAGAGAGCAGAAATACTTGAAAGTAAAAGTAGTAAATAAAAACAAAAGGACAGAATGAGGGGAAAAACTGTACAATAAGAATCAGTTGTTCATCAGTAGTGCTAGTTCAGATGTGTAACACTAATCATATCTGTACTACAACTCAGTATAAGTTTGTAAAGTAGAGTTAGATGGATAATATTATACACCAGATGTGCAATATCACAGGAAGGAGGTGTGCAGTTTCAGTATATGGCAGCAGCAAAAGCAGGTTAAAAAAAACATATACAAAAATGACATTTCTTCTGTATGTATTGAAAGGTGTTTTAATCAGTGATCCATGGAAAGAGCATTAAAAATCTCTACAACAGTATATTCCTTATTAGTGTAATATAACATAGCCTTCCTTCTCGCTCCAAATATTTTCACATTTTGCACAAGAGACGGGAGGAATTTTACTGGATAAATGTAACAATGAGCCTTCCTGCTCATGAATGATAGAATATGCTTAAACAATAGAAAATCTGCATTTGTATTCACAGCTCATCTTTAAGAGCTGTTTTACATGGTACATGTTAGCAAATTATGTATTTCACTCTTTACTGCTTCCATAAACTATTCAAATATATTAGCTTACACCTCATAAATGTTAATACTGCACAACTCTTACAGTCACAGAGGCAAACAGTCTAAGTAGCTGATATCACAGAGGAAAGGAATGATTTACTAAAGCTACATAAAACTCTTCTCTCTGTGGGAGATCACAATAAAACTTCTATAATCTGTGATAGTGGAATATTATAGATAGCCTCTATAAAAATAGCTTTATGGCCCAGGAAAGAGAAGCATTACGACTTGTTCTACTCTGTGTGTTGTGGTTTAAACCATCTTATAGCTTAAAGATAAACGAGTCCATAGATTTCATACATCAGACGTCATCTAATTC